CCGTGGGTTTGGGGGTTCATAGCTTTTAGGATTTTCTGGTTTAAACCCATTGAAAGCTCATTGCTATAAGGTATAAACGGCTTTGAATCCAATTTTATATTTCAAATACTAAAATAACTATTAACTAATAAGTAATAACCACTTTAGAGTATTTTCATTTTTCTTAAACATTGTATAGGAAATATTATTAATATTTAAAATTTAATAAATTTTAAGTAATATGTATGATGAGCCTGTTTTTTATTGGGTTTTAACATCATGGGTCGGTTTAGTTTTGTTGGGTGGGTTTATAATACAAAACTGAACCAAACCAATAATATCGATTGTTTCTAAAAATGTAAAATCGCTTTGTCGATTTTTATCGGGGTTTCAATTGTATCGTTTTTTGGTTTCCGGTTTGGGTTTTGCTCAAATCACACAAACTTCAATATATATATATATATATATATTATATATATATATATATATATATATATATATATATATATATATATATATTGATGCGACATCGGCTCCGACCACCTACACTGAGGAAGTGCTTCTGCGCCGGAGATGGATCTGCGAGGTCACAACAGATAAGCCCAATAGAGCCGCCCAGGGACTATGCCCAGGGAGCGGACTCCGACAGTCAAGTTAGATCATCTGGAAGATCTGAGACGGTTCCCTTTAACTAGAGAGAACCATCCTAGTGCTGGTGGTGGTGTATGGTGGCCGACGATGGCGGGTGATGGTTGAGCCACCCGACCGGAGTATGGTGTGGCGGCTAAGCCAAAGGGAAGGTTAGTGGTGGTTAAACCACTTAGGGAAGAGTCCAGGGAAATGTCCTTCTCCATGGAGGATATACTATTCATTATATAGGGGACAATTAGGTCAAGGGGAATTAGGTCAGGCCTTGGGCCAACCCAATTCAGGCCCAGCTAGCAAGGAGCTAGGCGAGGCCGCCTGGAGGCGCCGGGCGGGGATGGCGAGCGCACACCAGGCAAGGTTGGCGGGCGCGCATCAGGAAATGCTGGTAAGAGAGCGTTAGGTCGGGCCGACAGGAAAGTCCCCAATGAGGCTGGCAAGGGAGAGCCAGGCTATCGAGCGCCAGGCTGGGTTGGCGGGAGCGTACCAGGCAGGGCTGGCACACTAGAGCGGTTTAGGCCATGCTAATGGACCATATATCAACAAGTCCCCCCATTTCGATGTTATTGGTATGAGGCCAATGACATTGGATTGGACTTAGTCATAGAAACCAGCAGGAGAGCCCCCAGGGAGGCTGACAAGGGAGCGCCAGAGTTGTCTAGGCCATGCTAATGGACCACATATATATATATATATATATATATATATATTTATATATATATATATATATATATATATATATATATATATATATATATATATATATATATATGGGGACAGGGAATATACATTATAGCCCCACCTAAGCTTAGGTACTAAACCTCTAAAATATGTCGTTTTAACTTGCTAAATATACTCGGTTTGGTTTCACTTGGTAAATATATCATCCTCCATAACATTTCTTTCTTTCATTATCGTTTTACCATCTTTGTTTTCTTTCCTCCATTATCGTTTATTACTTCACCGAAGTGAACATTACTAAACCCTAAACCCTAATCCCTAAACCCTAAACCTAAACCATAAACCCTAAACCCTAAACCTTAAATTCTAAACCCTAAACCCTAAACCCTAAACCCTAAGCCTAAACCCTAAACCTAAACCCTAAACCATATTGTGTCGATCTTAAATTTACATCTTGAAGTATTAATCGTGAATCCATTAACCGTTATCTTTATATAGTAAAACAATGTATTTTCAAGAGGTTTAGTACCTAAGCTTAGGTGGGGCTATAATGTGTGTGTGTGTGTGTGTGTGTATATATATATATATATATATATATATATATATATATATATATATATAAGCCCTAATGGATTAGATTGGTGGTATGAATCACTCCCTCCACATCATTTTTTTTTGACACATCACCTGCCATGTCATTATCTACACTTCATTTTTACTAAAAAAAATGATCACCACACACCACACCATTTTTATTTTTATGTCACATTTTTTTAGTTTTTTTTCGTCTTTAATAAATAAAAAATAACGTTATAAAACGTAAGATTTAAACATAAGCCTTACATTTTAACTGAAAAGTACTAAAAAAAACATTACGATAAATAAAAATCATACAATGAAAACTAATCTAAAGTTTATCCGTAATTTCTTCTCGAATCTTTTCCTTCAACGTCAGAAAAACTTCAATATCATCAAGCACCAAAATTTCGGTGCTCATCCTTAGAATCGGCAAGTTATTGAGGAGTTCTTGTTGTTGTTGGAGTGCTTCTTCTCGCCCTCATCGTTCCCACTCAAACCTTATTTTAGTCAAAGAATTTTTAAGTACTCAAGTCTTAGTGTATTTTTCTCTTGTTGCACTACCATATACTCCTTGAATTTCTATCTATTTCTGCCATGGGCTTCGCATTCCTTTTGGGGGTGAGGTAAGGTTGAAATATTTTTGTCGGTATAGCAATTGCCATGATCCTTGGGTGTTAAAGTAAATTAAAATAAGACTCGTATTGAGCAAGTCTTATGGTATTTGGGTGTGAATATGGGTTTGTTGGATGGATGATTATGTTTGATCCATTTTTGTAGCCGTGAAAATAGAAAGAGAAAGAAGAGAATGGTGTAAAAAAGAGAAATAGATTGGTACGTATTTATAGCTAAAAAAGTTTTTTTTTTTCTTAAAAAAATGGGTCGTTGAACAGTCATGAGACCATTTTATGCATTTTAACCGGCATGGAGTTCCGGTGAAGTCTCAATGCTTAACATATATTTTTTTATAAAGCACATTTGATCCAAGATTGTTGGTATGATAGTCTTTGATGTTTTCTTTTAGCTTTTTTAAAGGTCCAAAATTATTAGTAGGAACGTCAACAAAACTAATGACACAAGAAAAAAAAACTCGAATTCTTATAAAAGAACAATTAAATTGTTTTTCTCGGTCAATAAAACAATTTTTATCCCATGAAAATTAAAATAATAAGTCTGACATTACAAAATTTAAAGCTGGAAATGTTCAAAATTTTATATATACAATTTTTTTTTGCAAAATAATAAAAATAAAAATAAGTATCATCCCTCTCCCTTTCAAATACAATATTCCCCCCAACCAAACAACTGAAAAGTGAAAACCGAACAAATCAGCTCGGCCAGTTAGCCGGGAGATGAGAAGCACCACCACTCTTCTCATGCTTAGCTCCTCCGTTTCCACCACTCCTCCACCTTTTTCCAAACACACTCTGCCTACTACTAACCCTAAACAATCCTCCAAACAATCAAAACCACCACCACCCCCATCATCCCCGTCTTTTTCTCACTCTCACTCTCATCGCCCCCTTTCCTATCCACTGTTAGGTGAAGAATCCCATGACTTTATGGAATTGTTTTATCCATGGGTTTATAGAGAATATATATCTAGAAGGAACTAATCTACACTGCATTAGTAAATTTCCATCGTCTGTTCAATCTATAATTTGAAGCTACAAAACAAGGCTTGTTAAACAAGAGAGGGGATTATTCATTAAAATGTATTCTAGTTATCCAATATTTGATGAAGACTCTTAGCTACTTGTCCCAAGTATAACATTTGCAAACATTTGAATAAGCAATAGTTCTAAACCAACAAAAGATGAACTTCCACATGAAGCACCTACAGAAGACCATTAATTTTTGCATTAACATGTGTTTATCTTGGATCATCTCGAATAGGCAGTGGAAAAGATCAAAGATCATGAGTCAGAATAAATTATGCAAACAAAACATTCGTTATCTATTCTCTAACCGATAATGGAATTACTCCCGACGCATTGAAAGCATTAGAAACTTTCAAACAACCATTCAAAAAAAATTCTCATCATTTAGCTGAATTACCTATTGAATTAAAAAGGCAACTTTGCAAACACGTTATGCATGCACCAAGACACAATTATAGTCACTGCAACGAAAATACAGAAGAAACACATTTCATGGAGGCGATTGATGAATTACAAAAAAGAAGTTGTAAGCAATAACGTTTGAAGACAAGAAGTCGTAAGCAATGACGATTGAAGATAATTATAAATACACATTGTCGTTTGTAAAAATATAAATAATGTAAGTATAATGTGAGTATTGTCATATAATTTGTAATAATGTAGGGTTGTTGTTTCTCAAAACATGAGAACGTGAAAGTGTATTGGATTAGTTTTTCATCTAGTCACTTGTCATTTATAATTATGTAAAGATTTTTAAAGAGTCCTCCTTATGTATAAATAGGGTGTTGCTGAATTAAAAAGCAACTTTGCAAACATGTTATGCATGCACCAAAACACAATTGTAATCACTGCAACGATGTTACGGAAGAAACACTTTTCGTGGAACCAATGGATGACTAACAAAAAAGAAATCATAAGCAATGACGTTTGGAGACAAGAAATCGTAAGCAATAACGATTGAAGACAATTGTAAATACTCATTGTCGTTTGTAAAAATATAAATAATGTAAGTGTGATGTGAGTTGGGGGGTGGGGGTGGGTCCCAAGGTGGCCAGAGCATGGAGGAGTGACACATCAGCCTCCTCCTCCACTGCGTTAAAGTCTGATACAAAGTACCGACCAACCTTATAACTATATCATGTGGTGAAGTCTCAATGCTTAACATATCTTTTTATCAAAGCACATTTAATCCAAGATTCAAATAAATGGTTGGTATGATAGTATTTGATGTTTTCTTTTAACTTTGGATAGTTATAGGTCCAAAATTACTAGTAGAATGTCAACAAAAACTAATGACACAAGAAAAAAAAAAAAACTCAGAATTCATATAAAAGAACAATTAAATTGTTTTTCTTGGTCAATAAAACAGTGTTTTGTCCCATAAAATTAAAATAATAAGTCGACGTTACAAAATTTAAAGCTGAAATTTTTCAAAATTTTATATATGCAATTTTGTTTCTTTTGCAAAAAAATAAAAATAAAATATAAGTATTATCCCTCTATTATTACCTGCCTTTCAAATACAATCTTCGTCCCAACCAAAGAACTGAAAAGTGAAAACTGAACAAATCAGCTCGGCCGGTTAGCCGGGAGATGAGAAGCACCACCACTCTTCTCATGCTTAGCTCCTCCGTTTCCACCACTCCTCCACCTCTTCCCAAACACACTCTACCTACTACTAACCCTAAACAACCCTCCAAACAATCAAAACCACCACCACCCCCATCCTCCTCGTCTTCTTCTCACTCTCACTCTCATCGTCCTCCTCTTCTATCCACTGTCAGGTGGGGGGAACGTCGCCAGAGCCACAATCGGATCAACTACTATGCCGAACTAGCTTCGAAGCTCGTGGAAGATGGCAGGTTCGAGGATTTTTTCATGATTGTGGAGACGGTTACTAGCGGCGGCGGTAGTTCTGCTTTGAAGCCTGTCGAATTTGCAGCACTGTTGAATTCGGACCTTGTTTCTAAGGGGATTTTGAGTGTGATTGAGAGCGATGGGGGCGTGAGGAATCTGATCAAAGTGTTAACCGGTTTTCAGAAATTAGGGATTGGTGGTGCTGGTGCAGTGGAAGTTTTTCTGTCCGATAGATCTCTTATGGAGGCAATTGGACGAGAATCCATGAAGATTTTGAAATGTGGTGGTGTGGCGGAGGTTGTTGATCTCATGGAAACGCTGTCTGGTAAATTTTCGTAAACTCATTGTGTAATGTGTAGTAACATTTATGATTTATCTTCTTCTACCCCCTCAATGTGGTGCAGGATTTCATATATCTATCGAAGATGTTGTGGAACCAATTGAGGTTATACGAAACTGTGTCGACAAAAGAAATCCACATGCGGCCATAAGGTAAGCTTAGTTTCCTACTTCCGCTAATTATATATCTATGATTCTATGCTTTCTGTTCTGCTTCATCTAGCTCCTTTTGCAGATACTCGGGCTTGTGTACCCACTCCGATGAGATATTCTGTACTGCAATTCATGAATTTGGAAAGAGAGCAGATATGGCATCTGCACTAACTGTTTTTGAAGCATCCAAACACAATCTGGGTTGTGTAAATATGTATGCTTATCGCACAATCATAGATGTATGTGGTCTTTGTTGTGACCATTTGCAATCTAGGTCCATATATGAGGTATGCTAATGCTCATAAATCATAATATACCAACTTCCTTGAAATTTTGGATAGTGTTTCTTCTATTTATGCATCAAAGATGTTCTTTATCGATCATGATTCACTTATAGTAGATTTTCTTCTGTGAATTTGGTGCAGGAGTTAAGTGCTGAAAACATCAACCCAAATCTGTATGTATTCAACAGTCTTATGAATGTAAATGCCAGTGACCTGAGCTACACGATGAATATATACAAACATATGCAAGTAATAATAATACTCTCTTCTTACAAAACCACACATTAGTTTAAAAAGAATGTTGACTAATTCAGTTCAACTATTCAGAATGTGGGCGTTACTCCAGATACGGCTTCATACAATATCCTTCTAAAATCATGCTGCCTTGCTGCTAGAGTGATTTGGCCCAGGAAATTTACAGTGAGGTAGAGTGCATGGAATCAACTGGATCATTGAAGTTGGATGTCTTTACATACAGCACTATGATTAAGGTATTATATTCATTTTTTATGGAAAATGGTCTTAACAACCCTCCCTAGAGTTTTCATATTTGTTATCTGAAATGTCAGGTATTTGCAGATGCAAGAATGTGGGAGATGGCACTGGGAATGAAACAAAAAATGCTTGAAGCGGGTGTGACTCCAAATGCAGTTACATGGTCATCATTAATCAGTGCATGTGCAAAAGCAGGTCTAGTGGATGAAGCATTTGTATTATTTGAAGAAATGATCGTGTCCAATTGCATGCCAAATTCACAATGCTTCAATGTCCTGTTATACGCATGTGTGAAGGCTTTCCAGTATGACAGAGCCTTCCGTTTATTTGAGTCGTGGAAAAAGAACGAATATGGAAGCATCACAAACAGACAAAATCTGTCACAAGGGAGTTTGGAAGTTTCCATGAAGGTTCCTTTTAGACCCACCACTTCTACTTATAATGTGCTCATGAAAGCTTGTGGCACTGATGACTTTCGTGCAAGAGGTTTAATGGATGAGATGAGGACAGCTGGCATTTTCCCTAATCATATAACTTGGTCCACTTTGATTGGTGTTTATGGAGGTTCCGGGGATGTCAAACGTGCTGTACAGGTAAGACAAAATTCAAGTAATTATATTATATTATATTATATTGTTATTATTAGCTCTAATAACATTTGCTAATTCAGTGCAGATTTTGAAAACCATGCGTAACTCTGGTGTCCAGCCTGATGTTGTTGCGTATACAGCAGCTATTAAGGTTTGTGTAAAACAGAGGGAATTGAATTTGGCATTTTCGTTATTTGCAGAAATGCAGAAATATCAAGTACAACCAAATATGGTAAGGAATATGATATAATTATAGATTTTATAACACAAAGTGTTTTAACAAAATACTATATATATTATAAACATTGAACTATTGTTTTGAATTTTAGGTAACATATAACACACTTCTGAGAGCACGTACCAGATATGGTTCCCTAGAAGAAGTGCAACAATGTTTATCTATTTATCAACACATGCGTAAAGCAGGGTAAGGGGATATGTGTCTTTAAGCACTTAATCTGGACAGCTATATATATAATATGGCTGTTACTTTTTTGACTTAATCTGGACAGAAATAAATAATAATTTAGCATCTTTGTAGGTTTAAACCCAATGATTACTATCTGAAGGAACTGATAGAGGAATGGTGTGAAGGGATAATACAAGATAACCATCGGCCACAAAACTCTAGCAACAGAAGAGATTTAGGGGGACCTCAAAGTTTACTTCTTGAGAAAGTTGCATCACACTTGCAAAAGGGTAACACAGATGCACAATCTATAGCTGTTGATGTTCGGGGCCTCACAAAGGTAATTACAAATTATTATCTATTTTTTTAAATAATGAAATTCCCACCAACTTTTTTTTTTTTTTTTATATTGATTGACATTTGAAAGGTTGAAGCACGGATTGTTGTCCTAGCAGTTTTGCGCATGATAAAAGAAAACTACCATTCAGGTAGAATAATATAATTAGGATTCTGTATTTTATAGAGACTGGACTACTGGAGTAAAAGTTTTTTTTAAGGGTGAAAATGTTATATGTTTTGGTTGCAGGTGAATTGGTAAGAGATGACATGTTGATAATACTGGGAGTACATGAAGTAGGTGATAAACATGAATTTGATGTAAAGGATACAATAATCAAACTTGTAAGAGATAATTTAGGTCTTGAGATTGTCTCATTAGGACCAAAAATCCCAAGTGAGATAATAAGAATAAATGTGGAGAATCCATTCCATCCAAATCCCAACTTATTATTATTAGATAAAACCCTCCGCCCCCCAAACAGAAGACCAGCGGTTTTTCAGAGGTTGAAGGTCACAAGAAGGTCCTTGTATCATTGGTTACAAAAGAAAATCAAATCATAAATTTTTGTACAGAATTAATTGGTCCCTCAATGTACGAGTAATAATTTGTAACACCACTCTATAATCCAATTTATTGAATATAAATAAAAAGTCATCTATCATATATTATTCATATGTTCATTTACAATATTTTACATAGAGTACCTCATCCTCATGTCTCATGTCTCATGAGCAACAAGCTTTAAGTATCTCTTCTATGTTGGGATCATCCCCTGCTTCTTTGTCCTTGTGGATGTATGAGATGTTGCTTATCCCTGGACCTGCAACTATGATTCCACCTTGTTGCCTACACAAGGGTAAAATGGTCATTTACTCGTCTTATTCAAACATTCGGTCCAAAAAAGAAATATGCATACATACCAACCACCTTTGGTACGAGTATCTTTTTCAAAGGAAAGCTTCCAATCTTGTCGATAACCTTCCATGTATGCTTCTATGATCTTCAAAGCTGCCTGTGTTTCTCAAATGATTCGCAAATAAGAAAACTTAAAAACTTGATTTGATGATTAAGCAAAAACATACTCCGGGTGTAAAAGTGGTTGAAACCCCAGAAACGAAGCTCAGTGCCTTGTATGATGCATAACTAGGATCTGCATACACTTCTGCAACAAGCAACAAAAAATATGTCATTTCTGTTATATAAGTTTTTGATGATTAAATCACATCTCAAATTCTCAATGCTTCAAAGTTGAAAACATACCTCCTTTGAAACCAGATTGCTCAGAGAATGTTCTTGCCTGCACATGGTGAATACAGATGGAATTGTCTCATCAACTTCATAAAACACTTGTCATGAACCCGAAATCAAAAGTAACATGATCAATACACACACACACACACCTGATCAACACTACCAGGTCCAATCAAGACAAGCGCCACACCTGAAGCATCCATCGTATCCTGATTGAAACGCGATTGAGGAAAAACTACATGAATTTGATCATCGTATGTCTAAAAAGGTGTAAGATTCAGTTCGTAAAATCTGAATACCTTCTTAGCAACAAGCATATCAGCTCGTCTGCGACAAAGGACACATCTGCAATTCAACACGTAAAGCAGTTGGATTAGGGCACTGTATCCTTGTGTATATGAATTAGGGCACCAAATTCGCGCTACGATTTCTCCGATAATCGAAAATTCTATAAGATGATATGTCATATGCATACCCGAAATGACGAGCGAATGCAACGACAGCCTTCCGATCCTTCCATAAATCAGAAATCAAAACCGAATTCCCATTCAAATCAAACACCTCTACTCTCTCCAACAGACTGCCCGTTTCTTCGCCAATTCCAATCGAAGATTCAGCAGTTCCTGCGCCATTAATATGCCAAATTACATACCTTGTGGATTAGTACGTGAATACAAGGGAGAGGAATAAAACTTGCCGGTTGAGCTGGAGACGGCGGCGGAGACACGGCGGCGAGTATGTGATGAAGAAGCGAGGACCGTTTTGTTGGCGGTGACGGAGGGGGAGAGAGTGAGATTATAAGTACAACTACTACTTGGACAACTTGGTGGCGAATTTTTAGCAGGAGAGAGGTAATTACGAGTGATCGGAGCGATTGTTGAGAGAGTAATCGCCATTTTCCGTCCGAATGTGTTCTCGCCGGAGAAACGATATCAATTCTAGCCGTTGAAGGTTCGTTGACTCTCGTGGCGTAGGTCGTTACACGTAGCCCTCGATTTTGGGAAGAATATTATTTAATCAAAAAATAAAATCAAATTTTATACTAATGTTATTTAATCATCAAATTTTTATCTTCTAATCATTTTAATAAGTTGAAATAAAATTCTCTCAAAAAACTATTATATATTTATGAACAACTTTAATAAAAAAAATAAAAAATCACTTTTTTCTCTAAATAAAATCAAACTCTAAAATACAAAAGTAATTATCTAAAACACTTTGCTCTTTTTTTTTTTTTTTTCCAAATTGCAATGAAATAGGTTATTTAAATATTAAGTAACTTTAATCGAGATATAAAAAAAATAAGTTTATATTTTATTTTATTTTTTTATACATTAGATCAAATATTATATTTTTACAAATAATATCCCAAATAGAGGGTTTTAGTAGGTGTTTTAGCGTGACACCGAAGATACTTTTTGTAGATGTTTTAGCGTGAAAAATTACTTTTTGTCTGCTCCTAATCTTTTAATCCTAAGTTAACAAACTACTTTCTTCGTATAATTTCAATTTGTTGGAAACAACCATTATTATTATTTTTTATCTTAAATAACTTTAAGCTTGTCATATATTTTAAGTTATAAATCGTTTGAAGTCATGTATTTTAACATGTGTAACATATTATTATATCTCAACAAATTTTATTAAAGCTAATTGCGTAAACATATAAAATCGTTGGAAAACCTTTTAATATGGAGAACACACCAATCACGTTAGTTCGATGCCGATACGTGCCGACGCTTAACTCAATAACTCCCCTTTGGGCTTTCCCCCTCCAACTCCATCTCCGTCTCTGCACTTCTGCCGTCGAATCCTTCAATGGCGGCCCTCATCCGCCTCTTCAAACCCCAATTCTCATCTCTACTCAGGCGATCACTTTCCTCCACCACCACCACTGCCACCGTTTCCGAAATCCAGCCTCAACGTCAACGTTCCAATTCTTCCATTCTACCGCCGCTTACTGATGATCTCAAGGGTTCTAAGAATTTCCAGTGGGTGTTTCTAGGTTGTCCCGGCGTCGGAAAGGGAACATATGCCAGTCGACTCTCCACTCTTCTCGGTGTTCCTCACATCGCCACGGGTGATCTCGTTCGTGAAGAGTTATCTTCCTCTGGTCCTCTTTCTCATCAGGTATCTCCTTATCGATCATAATTACAAACTGGGATCATATATTAATCAGTTGCAAAGCATGGAACTCGTTGATTTTGGCACTAAAACTTTCTCTATTTATTTCAGCTCGAGGAGATAGTAAATCAAGGGAAGTTAGTTTCAGATGAAATCATATTCAACTTATTGTCGAAGAGACTCGAAGCTGGAGAATCAAAAGGTGAATCAGGATTCATTCTAGATGGTTTTCCACGAACACTAAGACAAACTGTAAGTGATCATGAAATATAATTCCCAATTTCCAAATTGTGATGGTTATAAAGGAATTTAACTTTACAGGAAATTCTTGACGAGGCGACGGAAATTGATCTAGTGATAAATCTGAAACTGAGGGAAGATGTATTGATTGAGAAATGTCTGGGACGAAGGATATGCAGCGAATGTGGAAAAAGTTTCAATCTGGCTTCAATCAATGCAAAGGCAGAAAACGGTTATCCTGAAATCACCATGGCTCCGCTTCTTCCACCTTCACAGTGTTCATCGAAGCTCATTACTCGTGCTGATGACACTGAACTAGTTGTCAGAGAGCGGCTTCGTATCTACAAAAAACAGGTAATTATTTGTTCGGAGGCTGAATCCGTTCTGTTTATATAATTTCAGATCAAAATTCTAAACGATAATGAATGATGAAGATGGATCTGTATTTGCGTTTGGGTGAACAGAGTGAACCAGTGGAGGATTATTACAGAAAGCAAGGGAAGTTAATGGAGTTTGATCTTCCCGGCGGGATCCCGGAATCATGGCCAAAGCTGCTGGAAGCCCTTAACCTAGACGACTACGGTGACAAATGGTCAGCGGCGGCGTAGTTGACCGAGTTTATGATTATGGAATAATAAATATGGATACCAAAATATCTGTCAAGTAACACAACAGGTGCAGGTGGCTATCCAAGTTATGAATTTATACTGTAAAAATTACACAAATGTTATAGAACAGTGAATTTTGGCACTTCATTCTTATTGTATTTCTTTTAAAAGTATACCCTAGTGAATATATTTTTTTCTTTTTTTTTTCACTAAATGTCAGTTTCTACTAAATTTGACATATATTTTTTTTGATTTTTTTTTTTTTTTTCTACTTGTGATTTTAATTTTTATTTAATTGCGACATCATTATATTCATTAATGGCAATGCTAATGACAATTGTAAATCTGTTAATCATTTTTTATTTTGTTAAATTTAAGATGTTATTCATAAAACACTGCGCGAACTTTCTCCCAAAAACAACCGAATGTTTGACGATCATCTTCGATTGGTCTTGAGAAGCCGAAATTCATGCCTCAACTAGTTTTTCTTCTTCCTCTTTTGTCCATAGGACCCTTTCTTGGGTGTTGGGTTGTACCGTTTTTTTTTCCCTTTTTCTTTTTAGGTTGAGGTGGTGGTGGAAGTTGAGTTTTCGAAACAAAATCTGACGATTGAGGGGGTTGTGATGGTTGTGCTTGTGATGGTTGTGGTTGGAATTGTTGGAAAGCTTGATATTGTTGAAGTTGTTGTTGAAAGATCAGGAAAGCTTAATATTGTTGTTGGAAAAGTGTTGTTTGTTTGATAGGAGAACCGGTTTAAAGCAAATTGACAAAACCACCTTGAGGTGATTCAATGGTCGGGAATTGGCGAGGGGTTGTGTTTAACACAAAATCGTTATCGGGTTTGCGATTTCTATAGTTTGGAGGGTTGTTTTGGTTGGGATCCATGGATTTTATTGTGAAAATGTTGTGTGTATTTTATGTATAGAGTAAGAAAAGAATGGTGTAAAAAATAAGGTTTAGAATTGAGTATATTTATAGGTGAAAATGGTATGTAAATTTTTTTATTAAAAAAAACAAAAAAAAAAAACATTTTTTTAAAAAAGTGATACTTTCATATATACCCTTATTAAGCTTCAAAATATTGTATTTACCCACCTTAAAATCTAAAATATCATATTTGTTAAAACTTATTTTTTTTAACATTTTTATAGCCTGTTAATCATTTTGTAACATCTGGTTCCTGATATGTATTTAACTTATAATTCATTCTATTTTATAGAGCAACTCGACGAGTTGGGAGCCCCAAACTCATCAAGTAGAGATCATAAGGGTCGCGTATTTTAAGTGACCTACTCAAAGAGTTGGGAGGCCTCAACTCAACGAGTAGGCAGGCATATATGAAACCTTAATGCCCCTGGGTTTACACCCTATTTAAACACCTTAACCTCAAGGTGTTGGCCTCATTTCCAACCTCCAAGTCCCTAACCCTACATCTTGAAACCCTAAAGCTATTGTGAGTGATTGTGAGCCATTCTAAGTGTTTTTAGTGTATACTTGAATCCATTGGAAGAAGGAAAAGCTTGAGGACACAAGAAGGAGCTTATAAATCCAGAATCCTTGCCTCGTCCACGATATTTTGCTGGTATAAAGCTTGAACCTTGCCTTATGGTCATTTAAATCTCCATATTTGGAGTTCCTTGCTTGTTTTGGTCCAAATGATATGATTCTCGGGATTTGGATATCCCAAAGAACACTTCATATCTAGGGTCTTGAGGGGTTTTCATGGCATATAGGTGTCAACCTTATAACCTTGGAAGTCCCATGTAACCGCTAGACCATCATTTTGGTCTTTTGGAGCTTCTAATGGCCATGCATATAGAGAAAGCCACGACTTTACGTTATCTTTTTGTCCCTAGAGTCCAGATCCAGGACCTCATGGTCTATCTTGTAGTTTTGGTGGTGTTTGAATCAAGACTTTGGCCTTTTTGGGTTAGGGTTTGAGCTTAATCCCTTTAGGAAAGGTATTAATGGGTAAAGTTTGAAACTTTACCCTTCTAGAGGCATTTCCAGTCTAGATCTGGAGTATAGGGTGTAGATCTGAAGAGTAAGGACTTAATGCATTAAGAAGGGCTAACAGACTGAAGAACTTAATGAGTTCATAGAGGAACTCGACGAGTTGTGTCACAACTAGTACTCTCGGATAGGAACATCTGTCAATATGTAATCAACTTTTGATGTGTTCTGCAACTTTAATATGATAATGCATGATGTTCATTCCAAAAACCTAATTCAAAGCATTCCATACACTCAACTATGGGTTGTAACCCTAATGTTCCGGTTTAAACTCAGATTGGACCAAAATCCTTTTTCTGGGCCTAATGGGCTAGTAAACTTTCAATTCGATCATTTTGGGCTAAGGAACTCTATTTGAGCCCTAATTAGACCCACATTCATGAAACCAAAGTATTTTGAGCCATGTGGGCCTAGAATGATTCATCTTATCCCTAATGGGCCATAAATGATTTCATTATCCCTAATGGGCCGTAAACTCCATTCCTTTTTATCTTGTTGGGCCGTAAACGCATATATGGGCCCAATGGGTCGAACATTTTATTAGGCTACATGTTTTCAATGGCTATCAAGTTCAACCCCAATGTTTAATCTTTTTCTCCTACCCCCTCTCATTCTCAGTTTTTAAGTTAAAAAATTTTGTAAATGATCTAATTAAGTAACACCTCACCTTTAACTAATGGACTTTCAAGCAAATTGCATCACATGTATTTAAACCTCTACATCTTACTCTTCCATGCATTAACCAATCTTCCTCTATCTCTCTTCTCTTATTACTCTCGACCAAGAGTACCCATAACCACATTCATTTTCACTTCAAACACAATCCTTTCATGTCTCTCTAGAAACCCCAAGAACTTCCTTCTTCCTCATCGAAAATCGTGGTTTGTGTGTGTGTGTGTTTCAAGAGTTTTCATCAAGGTTTCAACCTCTTGGTAAGTTATTGTCTTATACAAGTTGTTACCATCCATTTTAATGTTAAAAATTCTTTCTTACAATAGCTTCATTTCATGTTCTAACTTCCTAGAATCATCTACTTTCGAAAACTTCTTCCAAAGAAGCACTTTAGGCAGAAAACATCTCCAATCTCCTTCCAAAAACCGATCCAAACCTCAATGTGAGTTCATACCCTATTGTTTTCGGTTTTCACTATGTTTTGGGGGAAAATACAAGTTGCTTATGTGATAGATCTATGTATTTGTGCATGTTTAAGTGTGTTTTATAGGTTATATGTTGTGATTATGTGATGAAACCTCATAAATCTCGAAAACTCTATCAAAACTTGACAATGTTTGTAAACTAAAACACTTCATGCAACTTACCATAAAGATGAAAGTGTTAAGCATGTTAAGGATGTTGAAAAACTTAACAAAATCTTGTAAAGGGACCATTTTTGACAAATAAACAAAAAGATGAAGCTTTTATGATACTTACAGTTTTTTAAGGACTAAAGAGTCATTTTTATATAAAAATGGGTCTTTATGTTATTCATGGTTTTAAAAGGGCCAAAAGAGTAAATTTTCACAAAATGGGCTTAAATTGGGCCTTCACGATTTTATGGGCCAAATTGGAAAAATTATGACTTTTGTGGATTAAATTGTCATTTTAAACAAATTTGAGCCAAAGATGTTTTTTCGGTTAAAAAGGGCTGAAAATGTCAATTTTATTAAATTGGACCGAAAATGTAAATTTTTATGTAATTGGGCCGAAAATGCCAATTTTATTAAATTGGGCCGAAAATGTAAATTTTTATATAATTGGGCCGAAGATGTCAATCTCATGATATTGGGCCGAAAATGTTATTTTTAATGAAAGTGGGCTAAAAATGTCATTTCATTTGAAATAAGCCCATAAATGTGAATTTTTGGTCTTAAGGGACCTAAAGTGTCAATCTTACCAAAAATGTGTCTAAATTGTAAATTTTCGGTTTAATGGGCCAAAAATGTCATCATTACAAAAGTGGTCATTTTATGTCATTTTGGTAAATAATTAAGCTAAAACAGACAATAGAATAACAAACGAATTATATAAATACATTGATCACACGTTTATTGGGCTTAATATTTACATTACATGTTTATTGGGAGTTAGTGGTCAATTTACATGTTTATTGGGTCTGGATTATACATTACATGTTTATTGGGCTTGAATTATAATCGTTAAAAGTTTTCAAATAAGTAGTTTAAAATAACATAAAATAATGATAGTTAAAAATAATTTTATATAAATGATTATATTATTATCTTTAAAATAAAAAAATGTATTTTTTGTTTTAAATAATTACAATGATAGAAATTAAAACGTTGAGCAAAAAATTTAAAAATTAATTAACAATAACAACAACTATAAATACCATTAAACCATATATTATATTTAATTTTAATCATGAGTCTGTCGCGAGTAAAAATCATTCAACAGATTAAAATTATGCAGTTTTAATAGATTTATATATTATAATATATTTCAAAATAATCGATATATTATATCAACTTAGTATACGAATTATTATATCAAATATAACAACAACATTACTGTTATATTTAAAAAAAAAACATATATTTGTAAATATTCAACTATATAACTGTTTTATAGTATTTATTGGCATTGTCATCTTCTCTTCTATCCTAATAAATAAATACCCTAATGACATGTGGCATATGCACAACCCTCCCTAAACTTTATTTTCCAGCTAAACTACCTAAGTGAATTTCCACAAGTACCCTTCCACTACTTTAACCTCCCTTGCATAAAATTTGAATATACCCTTCAGGTCTTATAAACCCGTAGAACATTAAATCCTGTTTAAATGCACATTAATTTTGAATTGATATTTCGTGCATGTATCCTAAATCTCTCCCCATATTATCGCTTTTTTCTTCTTAGAATTTCCACATCTCTTTTCATTTTACATTACTGTTCTGCATGAAGAAGAAATTGAATGAGTTGTTCCTAGGTATATATTTTCTTAACTTTTGTAAGGATGCTTAAATAATACAAACTCCCATCTTGATTTTTTTTCGAAGTGATTTAAAAAATGGAATTAATCTTTCTTAGATTCGTTGGTTTTTGTGTCACAACACACTTGCATTCAGTCATTGCTGAAATTGGTCAATTTATTCATTTGAATGTTTGCAATCACGATGTTCATTTAGTGCTGGTGGATGGTCAGGGCTTGGCAGTACCAAAGGATGTATTAGTTGTTGTTATATCTTTCTTCCTACAGATCCTTTTATTATTTTAATTTAAAATCGAAATACATACAAATTATTCTGGA